TCATTCSAATTCATTTCTTCGAGCAACTTTATCACATTTCTTAATAAGCTGTCAGGCCATGGCACACAGAAGCMTAGAGCACTTATATATAAAAACATAAATATATGTGTCTATAYATATATACATATGGCTAAGCTACATTACTCAGTGCGACTTTTCATTGAAAAGACTGTCTTTTAATGAATACTTTTATTTTTTCAACACTATGCTACTATTTGATCCTTTTTATTACCATGTGAAAAACGCTCTAAATAGCACATTATAAATAACTCCTATAATTTCAAAACCTACATTTAACATTTATGTAACTGTCTGACATCAGTGAGAGCAATATTCCAGCCAGGCATGGCTCAGATTCAATAACACAACGTCAGGGCTGGTTATTGCAATCAAATGCGGCCCCATTTCTATTTCCATCTCTTTAAATTTTCAGGTAGGATTTGTATCCACAGTAATATTTGGGATGTCATCGCATGGGATTTCTGCAGTTGGATGTCAGAAATAGCACAATTGTGCTAGCAGATACCCAAGGGGACAAGCTTGTCGCTGTTTTTGTTCAGTTCCGTGCAACAAATGCTATCAGTTGGATGACGTATGGCAGACACCGAAGTTTACGTCACTAAAATTGTATTAGCAAACACGTTAAGGGTGTATAGACTCACATATGTGCGGGGTCACTTATCCGAGTGCTGTGAATGAAATGCATATTGACGTGCTGTAGGTAAAACCGTATGTGCTCGGTGTGTGTGCGAGTATGACAGACCAGGGAAAGCAGTGAATCCTGCAGCGTTTGCTCACATGGACTGCTTGTTTTCCGGGAGCATTTGCCCATTTTCAGAACTTGTGCATCAGCAGCAGGAGGCACGGCATTCCAGAGGAGGGTATTTCGCCCCGTCCTTTGCCATGGATCCAAAGGCTTGCCCAGCTGAGTGCTCATCCCAGTGATCTGGCCGGCTGGCCCAAAGGAAACCCTGTAAGTTCCCGACATTTCYCCCTGGCAGCCGTGCAGACCGAGCGCTTGGCTGCCACCTCGGCTGCTGCTCGCCGTGTTTGACTGGAGCTGAGCGCAGCCGTCGGCTCCTGGCTCTCCGGGCCGGTTCCGCCTGCGCTCCCACTGCGTGACCAGCACCCCCAGCAAACAGAGCTGTCCGGGACCAGCACCCCCAGCAAACACGGCCACCTCGCACCGCACATCCACTGGCACCACAGCCCTCCTTGGAGCAGCAACACGGAGAATTCCCGGTTAAAACCATTGGCACGGTTTGCCCAGCTGGATGCGGGAGGCTGGTCATAGGGTGTTATGAGCGACTGTCACTGTCACTGTGTGTGGGGAGATGTTGTCACGGGGGGCAGAACMCCCTGCTGCGCTTGTGCGCGGAGCCGCGAGGCACGAGACAGGCTTGCTTGGATCCGGAGCCGCTGGCCCGGCAGTGATCCGGCCTGGAATTACTATTGATCACGCGGTAATCGCCCTGCGCAGAGTGTTTCAGTGCAGCCGGGCACTGCGGGGACGCTTCCCCGCCCCGGCCGCAGGGAGCGCTCCGGTGTCGCCTCCCGGGCACCTCCCGCTCCCGGGGCCTCCCCGCGGCTCCGCACGGCTCTGCTGCCCGCATGGGCACTGCTGCCCTCACGGGTCGTGCTGGGACACGTCCTGCCCCGCTCCCCATGCGCAGGTCAGCAGCAGAAATCYTTATTTGCGCTCAGGAGAAGCCAGACTTCCGAGACCAGGTGTGAACATAAAAATGTCTCTATATCATTATAGTGTATAAAATATTTGATCACATCCATCGTTGAGCTACTCAAGCTGACAGATTTTCCTCCCTCCTTTAGCCAATGGCCTTTTCTCACGTATTTCTGTTACTCATCCCTTTTCTAGGGATCCCTACGGATTTCAGGGCAACAGGTGTTTGTTTCCCCAATGTTCCCTTCCCTCTTGGAAGCCTGGGGGGGAGCGGGCACGAAGGAGGAGCTGGGGCAGCCGGGGAGGAACCGGGTATCCACCCGGACGGCGCTACGGAAAAGGGAGCTCCGTGGAGCCGCCGGCCTGCGCCGCGCGCCCCTCGCCACGGCCCCGCCCCCGGCACGGCGAGGCCCCGCCCCCGGCACGGCGAGACCACGCCCACTCACTGTGAGGCCACGCCCCCTTGATCCTTATTGGATGAGCCTCACCTTCTGTCCGCCCCTCAGGCTGCTCATTGGCCGCGGCGGCGGGGGCGGGGC